AATTATTTTAAAAATAATAAGCTTTTATAAAATATTAATAGAAAAATATTAAGACTAGGCTAGAGTTAAGTAAACGTATAAAGTAAAATAAATTAATACACGATTAAAAATAATAAATAAGATAAGAGAGAGAGACGCTTAACGTTAGGCTAGTATTAGGTAAGAACTTACCTTAAATTAAAAAAAGCTTATAGAAGCTATAAGAGATAAGAAAAAGCCTAAAAAAATAACGTATATTAGCTAAATCCGCCTAAGAAACGCCTGGAAAATAAGTTAACGTAAGCACAGCTTTAATAAGCTTATAAAGAGAGCTAAAAGCTATTATAAGGCTAATTTAATATTAAGAGCTATAAAAAGAGGCTATACGTATGAAAATTAAGGGTTTAAAGAAGAAAGAAAGAAAGAAAAATTAGTAGCTTAATTTAAAGCTCTTATAAAGGCTATAATAGGCCTTAAATAGCTAATAGTAGCTAGCTAAGCCTAGTTAAGTAGCTTTAAAAGTAAGGATAAAGTAAAGTTAATTATAATATATTAACTATACTAGAAATATTTAAAATATAGTATTACGTTAAGCCTAAAATAATACGATATAATATAATACTTAAAGGAAATTATATAATAGCCTTAAACACTTAAATACTCGAATAGCTATTTAATTAGCGTATTAAGGCTAACTTAAACTTAGCTTAAACCTTTATTATACACGCTTTAATAAACCGCTATTAGAATAGCTAACCTAATAGGTACCTTTAACCTATATAATCTAAAACACGCTTTAAATAACTATAGGTTATAGCGGGGTAAGCATAATCTAAAATAGAAGTAAGGGGGTTTTTCTTTCTATATAAAGGGTTTTCTTACTTAAACTCACGCATTATAATTTATATAATCTTTTATAAGTAGTTTCTAGTTTTAACCTTCTTTATAATCTTAATCTTATAGTTTTAATTTCTCGTAAAGATTTATTCGTATTATTCCCTCTTAATATAAAATAAAGGTTTATTTATATTATTCTTAGCTTTATATAAGTCTAATAATCTTTTATAACTAGTTCTAAGCTTTATTAAAGTCTTAATATCTTAGTCTTAAGTTCTCGTAAGAATTAATTTATTTTATAGTATTAATAAGTTTTATAATATTCGTTTAATAATAAGAGCTTATTCGTATAGCTTTATTAGGCGTTTAATACTTATATTAAGTTAAGAAAGAAATAAAGAAAGGTATTAAAATTATAATTATTCTAATCTTATTATTAAAATTATATAATAATTTATAATATTAGTTATATTAATTACTATTATTCTTTCTTATTTTTACCTAAAGTGTCCCCTATAGTATTACCTCTCTTTTTACCATGTAACGTGACTGAGTCCACTTTTCTCCCCAACAGGCCCCGATTCAACTTTGACCCGAAACGGTGTGGCTAAGACGGAACGACATCCATCAGCTCATAATTTGGAAATGTTAGGCAGTCAAGTAGTAAAATGTGCGGTCTTGTCTCGGCGCGCCCTCTGAGCCGATGTCACCAATGTGTGATCCCTTTGATAACAATCATATGACGTCACTGATGCGACGCCTGAGACACTTCTGTGCAATCCAGCGACCGCATAGCTACAAGAGTGCAAAGGCAAAGGCAAAGGGAGGCGATGAGAAAGGCTAATGTATCTGAAGGTGTACAACTTCATGACGGGATATATGCAAGGGGGTCAGGCAATAAATGTGCCGGCACTTGACAGAATCCATATTCTTCGCTTGGCGATGCTATGGCTCCCATTATATTTCCAAGTTGGTTACGCTCTTGCCGTGCCTGAAATTATATTGTAATTGGCTCCCTTGGCGCTTTTGCTCCGTCGTAGAATCAGCTCATTCGCATTCGACCCTGACTAAAAATCTGGCCTCTCGTTCACGGTTGCGAATTCCATCTTGACGGCCAGAGTCCCATGCCAACTGCGATGCCAGCTACATACAATTCATCGGTGCGCCGTACGGTCAGGCAATAGTTTGGCAGCCGCATCAGTTGATGCTCCATCACGCCATCTCATGCTGGTGGTTATCATTGTCGTAGAACCCCGACAAGCCTTCTCGATACAAGATCTCGCACGTGCAGCCCACGTCATATCCGAGATTTGCTCGTGCACTGGGGACACGGCTAGGTGAAATTGACGTACACATGTTCGGCTACCGTTTTCCAACTTATAGTTTAAAGAAAAAATCAAACCAAAAAGAAGAAAAGATTGGTTCGGACGGCCGCAGACGAAACCCACAGCCGCCAAGTCACCGTAATGTCAGACATAAACGTAAACAGTAGTCCTCGAGCAGAAAATAGGGTTTCTCTTGGGATTTCTCTCGGTATAATCGGCGGTATAGCTTTTCTCACTGTATTCCTCGCAAGGTATGTCGCAAACTAGATGTTGTGTCGCAAATCCCCAGCCAGCTGATGCTTTGGAAGAGAAGCGCCAACTTCTGCACACCGACATTTATGCAGGCGCGTTCCCTTGGAGCCTACTAGTAGCCAAAGAGGTGCGTAAGTAGGCAAAAGTAGCCACCAAGTTCCTCTCCCGAAGTTCGACGGTGTTGCACCAAGACACATGTACAAGCTAGCTCAGAGTAGCACTGAGGCGTTGCCAAGATCTCCGTGTTGCTTTGATGACCATGTTATTTGGTAGGTCTTTTGTCCCATTGCGAGATGTAGGCCTCAGTAAAGCAAGCATAGCAAGAAAATTGTACTATTTGTGGCGACAATGTAGGTTTTAGTTGTATGAATCTGTACTGGTCAATGAGCGCAGTGCCATCTGTCTACAGATCCTGGAGGACCAAGATATCGTCCGGCGTCTGCCATGCAATCACCTTTTCCATTCCTCATGCATAGATAAGTGGCACTTGTGCCGTCAGAATTCTTGTCCACTTTGTAAAGCGCCTTTCTTTACAAACTAGTTGTCTACATGTTGATATTGAAAGTCGATTTTGGAGAAACTAGATGAGAGTTGATTCAATGTGCCTCTAGACCCCTGGTTCTTTTTCTCTCTCTAGGAGTAGCAGAATGGTACTATTGCACATCACCACGTGTTGGTTACACGGGCCTGATTTTTTACGACTCGAGCCCCTCTTCGTAGCGGACAGTCGCCCATTGCAATCGTTTAGTGCAGATTTATTTGACACCTACAAGATTCGATTTACACAGACCAGCGGTAACATATTCATCAGCTAGCCCTCGCTGCAAAGTGCCTGGAAGGCTCCGTATTGGCAGAAAGGCCGTGCTGTTTCTCTGACAATTGTCCAGTCTTGTGGCTGCCGGTTTCGCCTTCGACGTGTTTTCCTTCGATAATACGACAATGTCGCTGCAGGAATAAGGCATGCTATTTATGTGTCTCCTTTCAGCAAATTCGTATCCCCTATTCCCGAACTGTCCAGCTAGTTGCACCATATTCAAATCCTGCTGCTCCGTTTTAAAGTTGAATTGGAAGTTACTCGAGCTATTATTGTCCCAAAATTCGTTGCCGTCCACGAGGTAGCGAATGCAGAACGATGACGTGTTGTCCCCAAGCTTGCTGAACTCTGTGAACTGGATAGTGAATTTGAACCGGTCTTGAGCGCTCCTTTTCTGCTGCACCTCAGCAGGGTAACAGTATTCAGCGTCGAATTCAGGCACGGTGGCCCAGTATCAAAAGTAAATCTACAGACTACCTGCTTTTGGAAAGCTAGGTTCTTGACAATGACCAACCCAGTAATCGACATGGAGTAAGTATGAATACGCATCTCTTCAAGCGTGACCGGCCGATCGGTATCCGTCGAGCGGTTGAAAAATCGCAGCATCGAGATATATGATTCTGCAGTCCTGAAGGGCCATGGCGTGCCAATGGCCGCAGACGTGACAATATACTCGTGGTCATCAAAGTGGTCGCTCTCAAGTAACGGCGACTTGCCAACAGCTTGGGGTTGGTCAAAGCTGGAAAATAGCCTGACACTCTCCAGATTGTTTTTAAATCGGACTACCTTCTTAATACCCGACGATGGATTGATGGTATCTGGTTTGCCACGGTGGCGGAGCGCTGGGCGTGCTGGGCGTTCTGGCGAGGGCATTTTGGTAATCCTATCCTGCATCAGCAGGGGATACCAACTCGAGGCGGTTGACCATGACCTCGCATTTTGTTGGTTTCTCCGATTCTGCAATCAGCGAGGAAACTGGTCATCTATGAGACATTGCGGCTCCTTGGATGAGCAACCGGTGACAGCTGCACTTGTGGACTGGTGATGGCGCCAGACACCAGCACCCCTTGAGCATGGCATCATCATCACGCACAGGCTATTAGCAGTCAGGGACGTATTAGTTCTGGTTTTGCCGGCCACTCAGACGCGTCGTCGCAGCCAAAGCATGCACGTGTACATGGTGGGATACATGTAAGCTGATTCGATGCACATCCAGGATTTGATTGATACAACACACAGTAGCTCCTATGTATTCATCCCCACAAATGTTCAGGCAGTTTCCTAACTGATAGCCACCGATAGTTACTCCTGTGCCATGTTGCCGTATTCTTGATAGTAATGACGGCGGTCACTGTTGGATTTTGAAACTTGGGGCCCCCTGAATGTTTGTGTGGCCAAAAAAGAATTGTGGCTAATTTTGACGCGACGTGTAATCATATGCATGCAAATAGAAATCTCTACTCATGTATCAAGACACGTCAGGTGTCGACTAGGAATTGATACATCTGGCCATGAATGCGTATAGAAAATTGTGAGTGGTTTGCTTTTGCTGGCCAGAGGGCTGACTACACAGTGAACGTAATTGTTGGACTTGGGACTCATGTCACGACCCTCGTCGGGCTCCGAGTCGGAGTCATTGGAGTCGTCAGAGTCGCCAGTCGCACTCTTGCTGTTATCCTCATCCTCAACCGGGGCTCTTTCACTTTCATGCCATTCTTCGTGAACCTCTCCATCCTGAATACATCCACCAGATTCGTAGTTTGTATCATCCAACTCGATATAGAGCATGTCGAGAAGATTGGCATGACCAACGAGGCGTCGCAAGCTGTTGTTAGGCTTGGAGGCTTCCTCCAGTAGTTTGGCCCGTACCACGTCAACGAGGATATGAGGATTTTGTGAATTGTCCAGTGATGGATGCTTGTTACAGACGTTGATTGGCGTGATATGGCCTTGTTGCGAAGTTTCACCTAGGATAGGTATAAACGTTGAAGGTCTCACGATTGGGACAGTGACTGAATCGACGATGCCCGCATGAAGTGCTGGCATAGACTCCGCACAGCATTGATGGGCGACGGGGACAGCAAGAGGATAATGGTTGTGGGAGGCTAGATTTAATTCATGGAGAATAGACCTTTGCTTACGAGGGATTTAAAACGCTTTATAATAAGTGTATACTAGCTTTATCATTGTGTCCCGGGGAAGGGCAACTTGAGTCGCAAAAATGTATGACTTTGTGTACGGTGAGCCATGCCGGTGTATAAGAGGGGTTAAGCACCAACTTGTCCCGCAGAGTTCGGAAATCTCGGACGTGGTGTCATCTAGCAGAGTCGAGATGTGCCAGGGCCTAGGACCCGCCATCCAGGAACATGCCCATTCGTCACTAGAGTGTAAAAACGGGTACCCGTGGGCACCCGTGGGTATCCAAGTTTTTCTTGGGTTATTCGTGGGCTACCCATTTTATCATGTAGGTGGTTTAGGTATACTACGAGTAACCTAATATAAAGATAAA